AGACTTGATGAGGAACATACACAAAACATTTGGGCAAAAAATACCACCGGGAAAGCCCCCAAATGGAGGAGGCCGGACGGGGCTCCTGTCCGAAATTTCGGCACAGGAAAAGCACTATATATAGGATTATTCTTGTCCGGAATTTCCGGACAGGAGCCCCGTCCGTCCTCCTCCATTTGGGGCCTTCCCGGTGGTATTTTTTTCCCAAATGTTTTGTGTATGTTTCTCATCAAGTCTAGTTGATCCATACCAAATTTCAGCTAAAATTTCAACCGGGAAGGTCGTCAAATGATTTTTGCAAGTTAACTAGTCCGGAATATATATATTCTGGACGAGTTAACTTGGAAAACTCATTTGACGACCTTCCCGATTGAAGTTTTTGCTCAAATTTGGTATGGATGAACTAGACTTGATGAGGAACATACACAAAAAAAATTGGGTCCAAAATACCACCAGAAACCACCTCAAATTGTAGGGGTGGGCAAAAATACAGAACCGGCATGGTACCGAACCGAACCGATATGGTACCGGACCAAAAAACGGGGTTTGAAACGGATCTCAATTTTTTTGTCCCGAACCGAACCGTACCGATTCTAAACAATGCCATGACCGGTTCTCATAAAATGAGAACCGAAACCGGACCGAACCGGACCGAAGTATGATTTAATTATTTAAATTTACATTTATACCATTATTTTGACTAGTGTCTTTACATTTTCACCGTCTTTGCTAGTTCATAGGAAGCCTGGAATCGGACCGATGTATGGTTAAATCATTTAAATTTGTACTACTATAATTTATCTGAAATTTATTAATTATGTAATACTACCTCCGTCCCAAATTGATTTGCAAAATTAACTTTTTTTTGTCAAACAGATTCATTTTAGAGATATTACCCAAAATGGGACTAAAAAAGTTTGAAAATTCCAAAATAGGACTTCCATGTTTTTATTCCCAAAATAGGACTAATTACTGCCATGTTTTGGCAGTACCAGACTTCAAACATGGCAGTATTTTCCAAATTTGGCAGTAATTAGTCCTATTTTGGGAATAAAAACATGACAGTCCTATTTTGGAATTTTTGAACTTTTTTAGTCCTATTTCGGGAACTTTCCCTTCATTTTATTCACTTAGCTAGAATGTCAATTTTTAATTATATTTAATTTGGAGCTTGCAACTTTGAAGAAATTTCAATGTAGTTTCTGAATATGTTTATTTTTTTAATTATTACAAATTGAATTAATTATCAATAAAGAGAATTTAACTCTAACATTGGTTGACCAAAAAATATTGACTTTGCATGTCAATTTGGGATGGAATGACTATGAAATTTGATAAATTGTGTAGATTTTTGGAGGACGACTAAACTTTAATTGTCTCTTAAACACTTGGAAAAAGTGGCATTGTTTGGTATTAGTATGGCATGGTACCGTCCCGTTTCAAAATGAAACCATACCGAACGGGTTTAGGTCTAAGACCGAACCGTTTGAATAGTAACGGTACGGGTACGGGTTCGGCCAAATATTGGACCGGACCGGACCGCGCCCACCCCTATCAAATTGAGGTGGCCGGACAGGAGAGTGGTCCGGCCTGGCCGGACCTGAATACTCCTCTATAGACACACACACACACACACACACACACACACACACACATACATACACGTCATACATGGGAAACAGTGGGCGTAGCAGCGTAGCTCAACTAGTAGACAGGGGAGATGTCACAATGGGTAAGTCTCGGGTTTGAATCCTGACAACTGCGATGAGAGATTACTATGTATACATACATAAAGTCAGAACCACACTCACTATATGCAAACTTGTGACTAAAGTCCAATTTACATCCTATTAATTAACTGTTCGGGCGGTGCTTGGGGCTTGATGGGTGTCTTCCTTTCGCACATTGGAATCACCAAACAACTATGGCTGCCAGCATGGACTCGCTCATTTAGTTTGGTAAATGGCGATTCAGCCGGAAAATGATGTTTACCACTTTTAGCATTTTGAGCAAGTGAAAAAGTTGTTTGGTTAATAGCTATTTGGCACTAGCGTTTTTGGACGAAAACGATGAAATGGAAATGCAACAAATATGAGAGTTTTGGGTTAGCTTTTGGAAATATGACGATTTATACTAATTTTATAGCCAAATAGCTAAATTACGTACCAAACATCTTCTAACAACATGTCAACTTATTTCTCTAGTCAAACCGCTGACTGAATCTGCTATTGACAACCCGTTGACTTCATCCGCTATTAACAATCCGCTAATATATATAATTCATTATCGGCTAATCATTAATCACTAAATGCCAAACACGCCCATTACTGTCAATTTCATATCAAATCTAGTGCACCCAATTTTCCCATCCTTAATGAGGCCATCTTCTCATTCAATCCATAAAACATGTAATACTCACACATGGGGATACTCACATGTGGGGAGTATGATTGAGTACGCAATTCTTAGATAAAGACAAAGTTTCCTTTATATACGGAGTATTTTATTTTTTGCGCAACGCATGGAGAGTGCCAGAGTGGTGCTTTGAAATTTGATAATGAAATGAAATATGCATTGATAGTGCCAGAATGACACGTTGAAAACGAAGTAGATAGAATTGGACTGGTTAAATGTTTTCTTGTGGATTGGATTCATTAACCTCCACTCACCATTGTTTTTTGGGGGCTGGGGTTAAATGTTTTTTGGTAGATTGGATTCATTAACCTCCACTCACCAATGTTTGTTGGTGATCGGTAACACTGGTCGACTTTCCACAGTACACTTAATTTTCTATTGTAGGAGTTCAATTGTTGAGTTCAAATCGTGTAGATTTTGAAAGTTTTTTCTCAAATTAAATGATGATCTTTTAGGCTCCCAGGATTAGTTTGAGCGGTCACACAATCAATATTTTTCTCGTCTCAAGCAGTAATGTGGGAGCTAGTTTCTTGCAAGGAATTTATTGGCGTTTGACCAATCAGTGACAAGTTTTCAGAAAACTGTGTTGAGAGCTTGATAACATGCGCAAACAATCAATTAAAAGTGGTTTCTTGTACGCGTTGGTGTGTTGGTAACGTTGGAAATCCAAAACATGGTTCGAGCGTCTCGAATTTGCATCTTTCAAAAGTTTAGAGTGAGTTCTTATGAGTTGAATATTAATCCGACGAAATCGGATCACATAGATAGATCCTAATAAAAGAGAATTGGTTCTTCATTTTTTGTGTAACGCTTTCAAATAGGTACTCCTATATTGCTATATATCATATGCACGTTTTTGTCTCCGTACTTGTATAGTTTAATACTACGTAGTTGTTTGCGAGCGTGCTCACTGCTAGTCTGCTATGCTTATGAATATCTCTAACTTTGTTTAAGAAAGATGCACCTAATTTTAGATGTATTCATGATATTTTGGCACTTTGCTATCCACTGCACACATGGACAGAGCGAGCGATTCATTTGAGTGGTGTCAATTTTTAAATTAAATAGTGCATCTATGGTATGATATTATTGAAAATAAATTTATTGATAGTTATACGTTTTCTACAATTATGAGTCAATTTTCAAATTTTAAAATAGGAAAAAAATTGAAATTTTATAAATCCGGGACCTGAAAGATAGATGAACTATCAATTCGGGGCCTGGAAGATATAATGTGTCGGTATAAGGTTTGAATGATTTAAAACTACGCCGGGGGTATCAATCTAGGACCTAATTGGTCATGGATTTTATTATTTTTAATTTTAAAAAATTTAAATATTTTTTAATTTGATTAAACTAATAATCTTTCTTGAAGAAATGTACATAAAAAATAGCAATGGAATTAATAAAAATTAAATAAATCTAAACCTGTGGAATTTAAGGTCCTAAATTGATAGTTTTTCAACTTTTCGGGCACTATACTGACACATTTCATCTTCCAGGTCCCTGATTGATAATTCATCTATCTTTCATATTTTAAATTGATAATATTCCAAAATAGAAATTAAATAATATCAATTATCATCAGTAATAATACACACTATTTAAATACTTATTTCATGCATATCTCAACAATTCATATATATAATGAGAAAGATACAAGGTTAGTTTATGGTATCGAATTCGATCATTCAAATCATCAAAAGTTTAATACAAACCATCAAATAAAGCTGATTTTATAGTCAAATGTCATGTTTCATAAGTACAATGGCTATTCTTAATTTCTTCTAGTCAAAATAAGAATATGTCAATTCTTCTTTTATGGCGTTAATCATAATTTTTTCCAATTTTTAAATTTATGAATTATTATTTTGAAAATGAGCAAAAGATTTAACCACGACTAGATTTTATATCATGTAAATTTATTTGTTGAATAAATATATTTAGTTTTTTTCTCAAAAATATTATTGAAGTAAAATTTATTTAAAAAAATATCACTAAAAGTTACTTTAGTATAATGTCATGATCACTTAAGTGTAAAATTTAACTTCAAAGTATTATGACTAAAGTAACTATTAAGTCACTAGATTTAAGAGGTCACATTTATATAAATAAATTTTATTTTAGTCATAAATATATACTGATTTTATATATATTTATACTTTGACTTTTATTTCGTTTATATAGGTGGTGTCAAATCAATTTTTAGAAAATATACCTCAACATATATAACTAAAAATAATTGAGTGGTGTCAATTTACTCTCATTTCATTTATATAGGTGATGTCAATTTAATTTTTCGAAAATATCCATCTATATATAAACTACAAAGAATATTTGAGTTGTGTCAATTGACACCACAATGACATATGTGGCTCCGTCCCTGACTGCACAACACGTTTGTTTGTGCATGCTAGCTGTTAAGGAAAGAATATTATATCTAGTTAATACATAATTATAGCTACGTATCATATCATTTGTATATATAGAAATATCTATATTTATTCTTTTATTTCTTTCCTTGTAAATGTAAAGACTTTACTATAAATATTAATACAAGGCCTCACACCAAATTCAAGGTGTGATATTCTCACATGGTATCAGACTAGGTTATCCCTAACCTACGGCATTTTCTTTCTCAAACTTTCTTTTCTCCATGGCAGATTCTCTTCCCTATGCCACGCTTATTCATATGTTAACTCTTAAACTGTCATCCACTAATTATCTTTTGTGGAAGACCCAAGTACAGACCCTTCTCCAGAGCCAAGGCTTATTCGGATTTTTGGATGGCACCAAAGTCAAACCGTCAGTTTCATCTTCTTTTGATGCTGAAGCTATTAAGGCGGAACAAGACTGGATCACTCAAGATCAGCGCCTTCATAGTTTGCTTCTCTCCTCGTTGACCGAAGAATCCATGGCTCATACTTTGGGTTCTACCAGTGCTGCATCCGTTTGGTCTGCTTTAGAGAAGGTGTATTCACTTCAGTCCAAGTCTCGTGAGATTCAACTCAAGGATGACCTTCAGAATCTCCGCCGTGGCTCCTCTTCTGTGGAAGATTACAGCAATCTCTTTGTCGGCTTGTGTCATAAACTGGCTGCTATCAAGTGTTCAATCTCTGACACCGATAAACTCCATTGGTACCTTCGTGGACTTGGACCTGCTTTTTCTCACTTCTCCCTTCATCAAATTCGCCAACATCCCACTCCATTGCTCAGTGATGTAATTTCTGAAGCTAAAAGCTGTGCTCTTTTTCAGAAATCTCTTGAGGAACCTTCATCTTCTCCAACTGTAGCCTTTGCAGCATCATCTGCTTCTGCATCAGGCCGTCTCCATCATCCTAAGTCATCTGGCCCACCCAATGGTCGTTCTGGAACTCGCCCCTCTGCCCACCGAGTCTCTACTGGGCCTCGTCACAATAAGACAAATCGCCGATCCTTTGCCCCGCGCTGTCAAATTTGCCGCACCGAGGGTCATTTTGCAAGTGATTGTCCTGATCGTTATCATCGATCTCATTCAGACAACACTCATGCCAACCTTGCTGAGGCTTTTCACTCCGTCTCCTTACAGTCATCTGACTCTCCTGATTGGTATATGGACTCAGGTGCTTCTTCACACATGACTTCTACCTCATCTCAGCTTGCCTCGGTTTCTCCTTACTCGGGTAACTCTCGTGTCTATGTTGGTAACGGTGCTCAACTTGCTATTTCTCATACTGGTGACTGTGTTTTTCCATCTGGTCTTAAATTATCCAATGTGTTGGTTGTTCCTCATATCTCCAAAAATCTACTGTCTATTAGTCAACTAACACAAGACATGCCTGTTACTGTTTTATTTGATGACAAATGCTTTACTATTCAGCACAAGATCACAAGGGAGATCATGGCAAAGGGAAAGCGTGAACATGGATTGTACGTCCTTGAACGAGGATCAGAAGCTTTACTTGGAGAAATCCGTACACAGAAACTCAAGGGCTCCTTTGAGCTATGGCATTCTCGACTAGGACATGTCTCTTTTAATCTTATTCACTGTTTAAATAAATTGGGCCATATTTCCGTTACTTCTCTACTGCCCAAACCAACTGTTTGTCATTCATGTCAATTAGCCAAAAGCAAACGCTTGCCTTTTGAACTTAATAAAAAGCGTTCTACTTCTTTTTTGCAATTGGTGCATTGTGATTTGTGGGGGCCTGCTCCTATTCCCTCAAAGCAAGGATATTTGTATTATGTCGTTTTTATCGATGATTATTCTCGCTTTAGTTGGTTTTATCCCTTACGCCACAAGTCTGATCTCTATGATACTTTTGTTCTGTTCCACAAATTTGTGGAAACTCAACTTAACTGCAAGCTTAGAGTCTTTCAGACTGATGGTGGTACTGAATTCACCAATAACCGCATTAAATCCTATATGATATCTCATGGCATTCATCATCAAATGTCTTGCCCGTACACACCATCTCAGAATGGTCGGGCAGAAAGGAAGCATCGCCATATAACCGAGACTGGTCTTGCTATGCTTTTTCAATCCTCTGTACCCTTAAGTTGTTGGGTTGATGCTTTTTCTGCTGCAATTTTTACTATCAATAGACTGCCTACTTCGGTGCTCGATGACATCTCACCATTTGAACTTATTTTTGGCTTTCCTCCGGACTATTCTACATTTCACCCCTTTGGTTGTCGTGTATATCCATGTTTACGTGCCACTGCTTCACACAAGTTTTCTCCTCGCAGTATTCCATGTGTTTTCTTGGGCTATAGCACACAACATAAAGGTTTCAAATGTCTTGATGCTCTCACTGGACGTATTTATATTTCCAGACATGCTATATTTGATGAAGGAAATTTCCCTTTCCTCAAAAACTCCTCCTCCATGCCATTGGAATCACTCAATGTTTCGGCTTTTCTGGACCCAGGGGTTACACCTAATATGGCAACAACCAGTGTCCTCCCTGAGCCACGTAGTCACACCAGTATTATGCCCCCAAACTCCTCATGCCGCATTTGTTCCATTTCACCTCCTTCAAATCAGTCTGGTGCACCACCAGGTGTCACAAATGCTTCAAGCTCGGCCACCAATGCAGTTACTTCTCCATCTAATTCTTCATTGGGTGATTCAAGTTCATTGCCGCACTCCTCCCCACCACCACCGCCAAATATCCGCACCATCCAAACTCGTTCTCAATCTGGCATTATTAAGCCTCGGTCATTTCCAGATTATGAGCTTACAGGTCTTCTTGCTGGTTTGGTTGCTCAAACAAAACCAAAGGGGTACAAATCAGCTGCTAAATATCCTGGGTGGGTCGCTGCTATGGACGAGGAGATGGATGCTCTTCGCTCAAATAATACTTGGGACCTCGTCCCTCGTCCCTCGGGTACAAATATTGTTGGCTCCAAGTGGGTTTATCGAACAAAATATCTTGCTGATGGCTCGGTTGAGCGGCTTAAGGCCCGCTTAGTGGCTCAAGGATTCACCCAGCTCCCGGGATTTGACTTTACTCATACCTTTAGTCCCGTTGTTAAGGCTGCCACAGTTCGCGTAGTCTTGACCATTGCAGTTTTACGTAATTGGCCTCTTCATCAACTCGACGTAAAAAATGCTTTCCTCAATGGTGTTCTAGATAAACCTGTATATATGGAGCAGCCTGCTGGCTATGTTGACCCACGCTTCCCTGATCACGTATGTCGGCTGCGTAAGGCGTTGTATGGTCTCAGACAAGCACCGCGTGCTTGGTTTCAACGCTTTCATGATTATCTTCTTCGTCTTGGTTTTCATAATAGTCAGGCTGACACCTCCTTATTTATCTTCTCTCGTGGCCATAATCTCCTTTACCTTCTAGTTTACGTCGACGATATAATAGTCACAGGCAATAATCCCCTCCTTCTACGAAATTTCATTACTCGCACAAATCGTGAGTTTGCTGTTAAGGATTTGGGGAAATTAAGCTATTTCTTGGGCCTTGAAGTCACTCACACGTCTACCGGTTTATTTCTTGGACAGTCCAAATATGCTAGGGATATTTTAGAGCGCGCTCAAATGTTGGCTGCCAAACCTGTCGCCACACCATGGGTTCCAGGTTCCCAGCTTCATAGCGCCTCGGCCACTTTGTTTCATGATCCTACATTGTTTCGCTCCATTGTTGGTGCTCTTCAATATTTGACAATTACTCGTCCCGATTTGTCATATGCGGTTAGCTCGGTTAGCCAATATATGCAGTCTCCTACAGTTGATCATTTCCAGGCCGTCAAACGTATTTTGCGTTATGTTAGGGGTACGATCTCTTATGGCATAGACTTTACACGATCCGCCACGCCTCCTGCCCTCCTTGGCTACTCCGATGCCGACTGGGCTCGTTGTTTAGAAACCCGCCGATCCACTTATGGCTATGCCGTGTTCTATGGTGGTAATCTTCTATCATGGAGTGCAAAGAAACAACCAACAGTTTCTCGCTCCAGCTGCGAATCTGAGTACCGAGCTTTAGCTAATACTGCCTCTGAGATTGTTTGGCTAACTTATTTGCTTCGCGATCTGTGTGTTCCTTTGGTTGATCCTCCTCTTCTTCTTTGTGACAACAAAAGTGCAATTTTTCTTTCACAGAATCCTGTTGCTCACAAACGTGCCAAGCACATTGATATTGATTGTCACTTCATTCGTGAACTGGTATCTTCTGGCAAGCTCAAGATTCAATTTGTCCCCTCCGATTTGCAATTAGCTGATATCTTTACTAAAGGGCTATCCCGACCTCAATTTGAGTTCATTCGTACTAAGCTTCGTGTTGCATGTCATCCCACGCTCAGCTTACGGGGGGTGTTAAGGAAAGAATATTATAGCTAGTTAATACATAATTATAGCTACGTATCATATCATTTGTATATATAGAAATATCTATATTTATTCTTTTATTTCTTTCCTTGTAAATGTAAAGACTTTACTATAAATATTAATACAAGGCCTCACACCAAATTCAAGGTGTGATATTCTCACACTAGCTTTTTCTTTTGTTTATTATGGCCACTACTTTAACTTCCAAATCCTTAATTAATATGCTAGCTTAGTAACTAATACGTAGTGTTTATTTTTTTCTCAAATCTTGTTGTTACCTTGTAATTACTTCTACTCGATGAAAATTTTAGATTTCTGTTTTACAGTAAGGATGAAAAGGACTCTCTAATCAGTTCTGAACTTAGCTTGCAGAGTTGCAGTCTTGCAGAGGTATAGTTAATTCAGGTGTTCGGATTAATTATATTAAAGATTGCAGTCAAATCGGTACCAATACCAGGTCCTGCAAACCAACCGGTTTTGATCCCGGTTCACATCCCCGGTCAAATCTTACTTATTAGAGATGATTTTCTTCGTGAGATATGGATTCGAGTATCTAAACACGAGATATATTTGAACTATGATTCAGACTTCCTATTAAGACCTCGTGCCCGGGTTCCAAAAAAATTTAGAAACTAAGAAGGTTTGATTATTTAAAACCTTATGGATGACCAAAATAAAAATTCCATCTACGGAGTATTTAGTATGGTTAAAGTTAATTTAAAAAGGTTCTTACTCAGGGAATCCTTTATTATGTTTCAAATTTTTTCATCGTGGTTCTAAATAGGAATCTTAGGTTTTATTAGATTTATAGGGTCTTAACAAGGTAATTCCTATCCGAACAAATAAACAAAACAAATGAACTTAAACTTAATCAATATTGAGCTATTTTAAAGAAAATTTGAATAAAGATTGTAACTATTCGAATTTTGACCAAAGCAATTTTCCCAACTAACTAGAACAAACCGTTCTTAGTAATGTATACTATAAAATAACATTGTTTGACATTATTTGGATACCGATAGCACTTCGCACTTTTGGACATTGTTTAGCACTATTTCTTTACCAAAATATATAAGGAATGAGGACTTTTTTAAGGTTCACCCATAAAAGGAAAGCAGGAACATTAAATAGGGATGGAGGAATTATTAAATAATACGTAGTATATTTTTATCTAATATTCCGTATACACTAATAACATTTTCAGGTTTTATTAGAATTTTTTTTTAAAAAAATTGTTTTGTTAGATATATACACATATTTGCACTTCTTAGGTTATACGAAGTACTTTCCAAAACATACCATTAAGAATTTACACAATATTTAAATAATGTGAGTTGGAGCGGAGGAAAACAAATACTCAGTATGATATCAGATTTGATTTACATGTATAATAATAATAAAAAAATGATTTACTTGCAATTTGATTGTGTATTTAATTTTGCACACATAATTCTAGGTAGCTCATTGAAGATGTGTTTAAGGATGTTTTTACTTTGGACTGTTTTCAGTACCGGACCAAACTTAAATAACCAGATCAGATTAGACTAGACCAGAGTTAAATATACCGGATCTGACCTGACTTTCGTAGTACTAAATTACACAGAGACCTGACATTTATCAGACCAGACCAAATCAGATTTAAACAAACCAAACCAAACTAAAGGAGCAAATTTTAGTTCAAAGTAAAAACATCTTTAACTCCTTTATTTGCTCTCAAGTTGTCCGGTCGATCCGGACTAAAACACCGTCTACTCATGTTACAAGATTGACGCTTTAAAATAGAATTTATCTCATACAGTATTTTAGTATACTCAATTTCTTATCCACGTCATTAGAGCTTGCTTAGCAGTATGCAGAGTGGAATGAATTGCTCTGAACATGTGGCTTAAGAAAGCTAGACATAAAAAAACAAACTTTTTTTATTCCACCGTAATCTATAATTATGTAACTTCTTTTTTCAGTGTCAAATACATAATTTAAATATGGACATAATGGTAGACATTGCGTATAAAAAGTAACTAGAAACATGGATGTGAGAAGAGAGACATGAATTTCGTTGACCCGTTATGTGTTTTTCTCTCATGTTTTTCTCTCTTATGTTGTATATTCATGTATCGTGATATCATTGGCATTCAGGGTACTATTACTCAAAAAGCTTACAATTTTGTTTGGAAAATTTTGATTGACTTGCTATAATCCATAATTAAGAGAGTGCTTGATAACAACGAAATTAATTGAATGTAAGTTTTTTTTTTTTGAAATTCAGGCTAAAACAACTTAAAATCCTAAATTATGAAAACTTATATTCAAAATATTTGTTAGTGATAAAATAGAGTAAATAATAATTATATATTTTGACTGTTACACAATTATGTGTGAGTGATT